TTAAACCTCTCAAAACCTAATGTATCTTCATTCATAAAGTAATACCTATTGAAAATCCACTGTTATTATTTTTTAAGAGAACATATTCGTTTTTCCATTTTTTTTCACTAAAGTATAGTTGACATACGATCTTCTATTAGTTTCAGTTGTATAACACAATGATTCAACATTTATATACATTATGAAATGATCACCACAACAAGTCTAGTAACCGTCTGTCACTATACAAAGTTATTACAATATTATTTACTACGTTTCCTATGCTATACATCATGTCACCGTGACTTATCTGCTTTATAACTGGAATTTTGTACCTTTTAATCCCCTTCACCTATTTCACCCATTCTGCCACTCCTCTCCCCTTGGTAACCACCAGTTTATTCTTTGTATCTAAGAGCTTGTTTCTGCTTTGTTTTGCTTGTTTCTTTGTTCTGTTTTTTAGATTCCACATAGAAGTGAAATTATATGGTATTTTTCTTTCTCTACCTGACTTATTTCGCTTAGCATAATACCCCCCAGGTCTATCTACATTGTCACAAATGGCAAGATTTCATTCTTTTTTATGGCTGAGTCATATTCCATTGTGCATATATACCACATCTTCTTTATCCATTCATCATTGATGGACACTTAGGTTGCTTCCGTATCTTGACTATTGTAAATAATGCTACAATGAACATAGTGGTGCATATATCTTTTCAAGTTAGTATTTTTGTTTTCTTTGGATAAATACCCAAAAGTGGAATTGCCAGATCGTTTGGTAGTTCTATATTTAATTTTTTGAGATACCTCTATACTGTCTTCCATAGTGGCTGTACCAATTTACATTCTTACCAACAATGCACAAGGGTTCCCTTTTGTCCACATTCTCACCAACACTTGTTATTTGTTGTCTTTTTGATAAGAGCCATTCTGACAGGTGTAAGGTGATACCTCATTGTGATTTTCATTTACATTTCCCTGATGATTAGTGACATTGAGCATTTTTTCGTGTACCTGTTGGCCATCTGTATAGCTTCTTTGGCAAAATGTCAATTCAGGTCGTCTGCCCATTTTTTAATTGGATTGTTTGTTTTTTTGATATTGAGTTGTAGGAGTTCTTTATATATCTTGGATATTAACTCCTTATTGGATATATCATTTACAAGTATCTTCTCCCATTCAGTAGATTGCCTTTTCATTTTGTTGATGATTTCCTTTGCTGTGCAGAAGCTTTTTAGTTTGATATAGTCTTGTTTGTTTATTTTTGGTTTTGTTGCCTTTGCCTGAAAACAAGTACAAAAAAAATTGCTAAGACCAGTGTCAAAGAGCTTACTGCCTATGTTTTCTTCTAGAAGTCCTATGGTTTCAGTTCTTACATTTAATTTTTTAATCCATTTTGAGTTTATTTTTGTACATGGTATAAGAAAGTGGTCCAGTTTCAGTCTTTTACATGTAGCTATCCAGTTGTCCCAACACCATTTATTGAAGACACATGGGGTCTTTTTGTCCATTGTATATTTTTGCCTCCTTTGTCATAGATTAATTGACCATATAAGCATGGATTTATTTCTGGGCTCTCTATTCTGCTTCA